CTCAAACTTACCACCATACACATAATGTCTCCATATTTTGAGTGCAAAAACGATGGCGGCTAGTTCTAGATCATGAGTTGGATAATTTTTCTCATGTGTTCTTAATTGTCTCGAGGCATATGCAATTACCCTTCTATCTTGCATAAGAACACATCCTAATCCCATTTTGGAAGCATCACAAAATATCACAAAATGTCCAGTTGGGTTAGGCAATGCTAGTACAGGGGAAGTGGTTAATCTTCTCTTAAGTTCTTGAAAACTATTTTCACACTTTTCTGTCCATTCAAAAACTTGACCTTTCTTGGTGAGTTGGGTTAAAGGCATAGCCATTTTAGAATATCCTTCAATGAATCTCCTATAATATTCAGCCAAACCCAGGAAACTATGAATCTCAGTCACTGTTTTTGGTGGATCCCATTGTAGAATTGTTTCTACCTTAGTTGGGTCTACTGACACTCCCTCTTTGGAAATCACATGACCTAAAAATTTCACTTCTTTTAACCAAAATTCACACTTAGACAATTTAGCATACAATTGTTTGTCTTTTAAAATTTGAAGAACAACTTGAAGGTGGTCCGCATGATCTTCAAAAGTTTTAGAATAAATAAGAATGTCATCTATAAAAACCACAACAAAATGATCTAAAAATGGACGAAAAATCCTATTCATATAATCCATAAATATTGCAGGAGCATTGGTCACACCAAAAGGCATCACCTGATATTCATAATGATCATACCTAGTTCTAAATGCAGTTTTTTGTACATCTTCTGCCTTTACTCTAATTTGGTGATATCCTGATCTTAAATCTATTTTAGAAAATACAGAAGCTCCCCTTAATTGATCTAACAAATCATCTATTCTTGGAAGAGGGTATTTATTCTTTATGGTGAATTTATTTAACTGACGATAATCTACGCACAACCTAAAACTGCCATCTTTCTTCTTAACTAATAAAACAGGGGCTCCCCAAGGTGATACACGAGGACAAATGAATTGTTTTCCAAGTAATTCTTCCAATTGTTTCTTCAGTTCTGTCAGTTCAGAAAGGGACATCTTATATGATGCCATAGAAATTGGTCCAGTTCCAGGTATTAAATCTATTGAAAATTCAATCTCTCTGTTGGGTGGTAAACCAGGAATATCATCAGGAAAAGCTTCAGAAAAATTTTGAACAACTGCTATCTTTTTCAAATCGACTTCCTCTTTTACTTCCACAGAAGATATTAACAAATATCCTTGAATTTTGTTCTTTAAAGACTCATTTACTGAGTTGGTAGAGAAACTCAAAAGATTTTCAGAATTTAAAAATATTACTGATTTTTCTGCACAATTTAGAAGGACTTGATTGGAAGATAACCAGTCCATACCTAGGATTACATCCAATTGAGATAAAGGTAGACAAATTAAATTTACAAGGAATTTCCTGTTTTCAATGAACAAAGGACAATATAGACAAATTTTATTGGTGATTACAGACTTACTTGTGGGAGTTGAAACAATTAAACTATTATCTAGAAAAGAAATCGGCAATTCAAGGTGTTGGACACAATCATTGGAAATAAATGAACGAGTTGCGCCTGAGTCATACAGTACATTTAAAGCTTTGCCTTGAATGAAACACATACCTTGGATCAAATCATTATTCTGAGAAGCTTCAGTTCCATTCATGGTATATACTCTTCCTGTTGTCGGAGGTCTTCTTTTTGGTGTAGAAGGATCAAAATTTGGTTTTTGTTGCCGACATTCAGAGAATATATGACCAGGTTTCCCACACTTGAAACAGACAGGTCCTTTAAGATGACAATCTTTAGCATAATGATCTTGTCCACACTTAAAACACTTGAGCTGATTATTTATACGGTTATTAAAATTTCCTGCAGAAAATTGATTGGGTTGGGATCTCCAAGTGGGGCGTTGTAAGGTTTTTCTTCATTTTGTCTCCTTTTATTATGTCTAGGTCCAAAAGATTTTGGTTTACTACTTTGATGATTTTCAAAATCTTCCAAAAATCTGCATTTATGAATAAGCGTAGGAAAATCAGAAATTTCTAGTATTCCTACCGCTTTTCTCAATTCGGGCCTAAGTCCATTCTCAAATTTTATACACTTCATTCTTTCATTAGGGTGATAAAAGAATGCAGAATATTTTCCTAGCTCTTGAAACTTAAAGGCATATTCTCTTACTGTCATACTTCCTTGCTTTAATTGCATAAACTCTATTTCTTTCGTTCTTCTCACATCATTGGGAAAATATTTTTCTAAAAATTTTGTTCTAAACACTTCCCAAGTAATGATTATTCTTCCTCCTTCTAGTAATCTCCTGGTACTATCCCACCAATATTCAGCCTCTCCTATCAACATAAACACAGCATAATCATCTTTTGGTCATCAGGACAATTCATAACTTGAAATATTTTTTCCAATTCTTTAATCCATAATTCAGCCTTTTCTGGGTTATATCCTCCAGAAAATTGCGGAGGCTTGTTTCTCCTAAATTCAACTAAACCTTGTGATCCATTGGTTCCTTCAGGTCTTTGGTTCCTTAATAATGCAACGGTCATGTCTCGAATAGCTTGTACCGCTTCTGTCAACTCGTTGTTCCTTCTATTATTTGCCATCTGGAATTATATAAGTTAGGATTCATAAGATATCATGATAGACTCATTGTACAGGTCACACATGAAACGTTGCTCTGATATCATTTAATGTGACGTTTATTATTATTATTAGTATTATTTATATAAGAGTAGGAGGTCAAAAATATTACATATATGTAAAAGTAATTTACATCACTATATAAGATATACAATAGAAGAAGGAATTTTATTTTTGATTCCTTCTATTTTTTTCTATGATTTTACAAGTATCTATATTGTCAATGGAAACAAACTAATTAAGGGGTTTTGGAAAAATGTAAGAGGCATACAAAAGGTAACCACTACTGACCCATCTAACATAATGGGATTTCCCATATCAGATACAAATGTTATTATTGAAAATCATGTGCCTCTAAAAGTAACCGAATTGTCTATAACATTTGTTTTCCAAGTAGTTCCGGAAAGAAGGCAGTGATGCTTGCAGAAAAGGGATTTGGAATATTTGGTGCCTCCATCTACTTAAGTTGATTTTTAAATAAAACATGTACAAAAGATCACAATAGGGAGTGAGAACATTTATCAATTACAATAATACAATCTTATAATATATAGATATATATGTTTCAACTTCCTCAACACATTCTATTTTATGAAGATTTAAATTAAATTTGTAATGACTAGTCAGGATAAATGAGTTCAATTTTAATCACTCTCACAAGTGATATTTACTCATTTAAATCCCCAAGGTTCAACCTCCATCTACAATATCATCAAATCTTCACAAATAGATATTATTGTAATTGAATAATATAACTATAAATTAATAAATAAGATCGTTGCATTACTAGAGATAAAATAAAGTAAACAAACAAAACCAAGACGTAATCGGAGATAATTAAAATAAGACCAGTGTAAGACTGGAGATAAAATAAAATGAACAAACAGACCAGTACATAACTGGAGATAATTAAAATAGGATCAGTGTAAGACTGAAGATAAAATAAAATGAACAAACAGGACCAATACATAACTGGAGATAATTAAAATAGGACCAGTGCAAGACTGGAGATAAAATAAAATGAACAAACAGGATCAGTACATAACTGGAGATAATTAAAATAGGATCAGTGTAAGACTGGAGATAAAATAAACAAGCATAAGGTAGGGTCATACGTAGTTAGAGATAAATAAACAAATATCTAAATAAATAGAATGAGGTTAGAGACACCTCACTCCACAACTATAAGCAAAATAAAATAGATTTAATGATAATATTCTCTTCTCCTATCTTAAGAGCTGCGGATGAGGTACCAAAATTTTTGTAGACAAATTTTTTTTTCTTCTTTCTCTCTCTCCTTCTTTCTTTCTCTCTTCTTCTTTCTCTCTCTCCTTCTTTCTTTCTCTCTTCCTTTCTCTCTTTCTCTCTCCTTCTTTCTCTCTCTTCCTTATCCTTTCTTTCTCTTTCTCCAGCAACTTCCCCCCTATCCCCTTTTATAGCCTTTTTTTTTTTCTTAATGAAATCATTAAAACCATTAATGACTTGGATAAAATTTACCCATTAAGATAAATTAACTTTATCTTTCAATTTATTATTATTTTTTTTTTGAGATATTACAAAGGTTATGTTATATTATCTTATATAGTTGGTAACCTTACAAGTAAGGTCATCACTAGATACTCATGAATAAGAAATGTTTCCGCTCAACTGTGTTAAAATTTGAATTTGAGTTAAAAATGATGTTATATTATCTTATATAATTCACTCCTTTTTTATTAATTCCTCATAAATACCCAATAAATTTATTATTATTAATATTATTATTCAACTCAACAATCATATATTTAACCTTACTACATAACCTTTCAATTATTATCATATTAATTACATATGTCAATTATCTACCTTATATACCAAGCGTTTCACAACCACTTATTACATCACACACAACAATATCAATTATAAACCAAAGCGAAAGCAGAAATAGAATAACACTAGTATATATTATTATTATTATTCGCAAACTACTATGCAATTTCACCCTACTTTACAGAAGGAAAAATCTTCATACGAGACCAACATACTTTTATCTTTGACCAAACATCATCAACTTTTTTCTAAAAACAAAAAAATTCGTCTTCTTCTATAAACTTTTGACCATAATCAACAGTAGAAAGAACGTAAAAATCTAGGGCGTCGTCGACCATCCACCAAACTTTGTGACTGACGTTTAAGATTTTGCAGAGTGAGCAACGAAGGGTGATGGCCCACGATTGTATTTTGCCGTAAATCAGTAGATAATTTTGATAGAACATGTTTTCCACGTTTTCCATAATTCATAAATTGCAACTCAACTTGAGAATGGCTTGTCTTAAAAGGGTCGTCTGATACGTTATAGTGGCAATGAATGAGTATGATTATGTTGATCTTGATTTGAAGGTTGGTAGGGTCATGTGAAGGAAGTTCCAATGCAATGTAATGTTGCCAATTGCTCTGTCATTTCAAACCACGTCTCTTCGCAACATTCATACAAACATCTTATCTCATATTTCACACTATTAAATCAAATATTAAACAACCAATGTATTTATGTTTTTCTAAAATATTTTACCAACTGCTATATCCTTAGAATCCAACCAAAAATAATTTATATATATATATATATTTTTTTTTTCCTTTATTTATCGTACTGTTTTTTAACAAAATCACAGATAAGAATTTTTTAAAATTAACATAAAAATTGATTCTAACATTAAGAAAGTTGTATTATTTTATTATTTCTTTAACGTAGAATCTCATAATGAATAACTTTAATGACTTTTCAGTAAATGTACGACAAGAAATAAAATGACGTAACCGATGACCGAAGATGCTTTAAGTAGAAGAGCATTATTATAAATATATGAAATTACAGTTGTGATAAATAAAACATGAGGCATCATGTTTGCTTTTTTGTTTGTAAACAGTGTCGGTACTGAACTCACTCAACTCATGATGAGATTGCTGCGGCTAGGGTTTTCTAATTATTAGTTTTTTTTTTTATGTTTAAATGGAAAGAGGAAATTCAGAAATTAATAAAAAAGTGAAAACAATAAAAACTAAAATTATTAATATTAGATAAAAATTAAAATTGAGAAAAAATTTATGTATTAATAATAGTTTTATTTATTATTTTAATAATATATTTTAATTATTTTTTAATATTATAATAAAATAATGTAAATATAAATATTTACAACATAAATTACGTATTAATGACAAATTTATAATTCTTTTTGTTTTTTTAATACTCTGGTTTTTATGTGTAAAAGGTAGATAACTAGTTTCAATGATGGATATATAAAAGTTTAAGTTTAGATTAATTTATAAAATTATAAATAGATAATAATATTTTATTTTTCATTTACTAAATTATTATCTCTAAATTTTATTTTCTCTTATTTCCTTATAAATTTTGAAGTAGTTTTTCATTTGTTTTAAGAAACAAACTCGTTCCAACAAAGTTAAAAGAGAGTATATTATTTTCTATTGATTAGATTTATTAATAGAATAAGATTTTTGGTGTGGCTGATATTGAGATAGTTAGGAACTTAAAGATCTATAAATTGGAAAAAAAGCACAAAAAGGTAAGGGAATTTTTTTATTTTAATTTCTATAATACTGAAAGCTAAAAGACTTGAAGATGATAGAGTGACTTAATCATCATCATTGTTTTGATTGAATTTGGATGTTCATTTGTGATTTGCTTAATTTTATATAAAATATATTAATTTGTCTAAATGACTTGGTGGAGGAATGTAAGGGAATAGTAAAATATAATATGTTTTTAGTTGATAATTATGGTAAGATTCTTATAATTGAGTTGTAATAGTTGAATACTGTTTTGGTGAATTTTGTAACATATGCTATTTACATAATTTTCATTTGCGTGAGGACGGTTCAAAATTTTGGAAAGTGATTTTGAGTTTATTTTTATTTAAATAAGATTATTTTTACTCAGATAAAATATTCTTAGCAGAAATAAATATTCTCAACCTCATTTTCATTTAAACAATTTTTTTCTCGGACAATATATTTTTTTTAAACAAAAATAAGTTTACAAGTGTTTGTCAAATTTTATCGCTTGAGCGACAAGTCAAAACTAGAGTGATGAGCACAACTCAAGCAAGAAGACACAAAATAAATTTTGTTAAATATTTTTATAAAATGTAATTTAAGTGATGAAATCACCTTTAAGCAACTTTTACTCCTACACATTTAAAGATTGAATTATTTAATTGTTAAAGGAACTTCGTTTTCATATTTTTTTATGTCACTTTATGTGAGTAGGTCTTAAACTTATATTTTAGATTATAACATGTATGTTGTAGTAGGAAAACTTTAAAATATAATTGCAAGTTTTGATGATTTATATGATTTTATTAAATAATAATTTATGTGATTCATATTGAATATATATTATGAAAATGAGAATAATGAATTGGATAATATTGTTCAAATGACCACTTGTAGTTTATATATGGTGTTGATGAAATTAGTAGTTATTAAGAAAGTACTAATGAGTTAGTTAAGTATAATATAAGTATTAAGTATGGTAAATTGATTAAAAGAAGTATCGAATTTTTATTAATAGCATCAAATCACAAGAGTCAATAGATTAGGTGGTGAAAAATTAATATAAATTTTTGTCATTTATTTGAGGATGAAATTGTGTCATCGGTTATAAGTGTGATAAAATATTACTTTATTTATTTATTAAATCCTTTTTCTTAGACCATGTCATGCATTTTCTTTTATTTCAATTTAAAAATAAGTTTAATTTTGTAAATAGCTTAAAGAATGAAAAATAATATTACTACTCAAATTTTGAAATAATTACAATATCTCGTTTCGTCAAAAGAAAGGTTGGTTCACCAAAAGTGAAAGTGTACTCTATGACCAACTTTTAAATAGAAGAAAAAAGTGTGAAAAAAATATTAGTTTGAATGATAGAAAAACCCTAGAAAGATCACTAGTGACCAGAAGACGTTATAGAGTATCACAAACCTAAAGATTCTTTCATCAATACCTGTATAAGTTGTAATGTCAATGAGTAACTAAAATTTTCTTTATAATTGGGGTTGGATGTAATGAACAAGACTGTTGAAACTATTTTATTCTATATATATCGTTATCTTGTTTATGTGTTTTTTCTTAATATTTAATTTGTATTTTTTTTTTGTATTTTGTTGTTCCTAAATATTAAAAAATTATATTGGAACTGTAAACCTAAGGTTAAACAACTTTGATTTTTTGTATTAGACATAATAGGTTAGGTCTGAGTCTTTTTTAGCATACCAACTTAATGCAAACTATTTGTAAATGGAGGGATTAAGTTATTTTATTGATAATTTAGAATTCTATGTTTAAGGGATTAAACTGAGAAAAATATTATACAGATACAAAACACAATGACTCTATTTTATTAGTATAAAAAACTTATTACATATTGTTTGTGAAACCATTACACAATCGATATAGTATTCAAATAGTCCGACCCATTATATAATTGACCTAATAAATTAGACATATAACAAGTCGTTACATATAAATGCAAAATATAAAGCTTAAATATTTACTATCTAAACAAATACTTTAGAAGACTTCAGTCCAATAATGAGTATAAATACAAGGTTATGACTAAGATTATGAGAAAAAATAAGTAACAATATTTTGTAATAACAAAATCCAACCCTAATGATATTTAATTTATAAATATTTAAGTTTCGTTTATTTTATTTGTTTGCTGATTTTTCTTATCTTAAATCTAAAATTTAAAATTAATTTTCTTTTATTATCCACTTATGGCGAGTAAATATGTAAGATGTTTAAACTGAGTATAAATATATTGTGAAACGATACTTAAGTTTTTTAGAATTATTATTTGTATGATTTTGTACACTTGCCAAACAGATGTATTATTGAATTTATCTTATATGTAAATTTTGGGTAATGTTGTTATTTTGCTGAAAATGTGATATGTTATGTCTAAACCCTATGAATATTATGTGTTGTATGATATGGTGGAGAACAATGTTTGTGTGGAACTTGTTTATAATGACACGATGAAGAACCCTATGAAGCCTCTACAGACACGAAGCGAAAACGTGTTTGATGCATGTATATAAGGGTAGGATACGTATTCTTAAAAAGAGTAATACGATGTTTATGGATTAACTAATTAAAAAACATAATTAATTATGTACAAAGTTGTTAAGTACGTGATTATTAAAATCATGATGATATTAATTATGAGTACAGGGGATTTAAAATTCTTATGTTTTTTAATTATTATTATATCTTTATTTAAAGTAATTCATATACATCTCAATTGTTATTAGGTACTTGTTTTAAACCTTAGTTTATTTTATATTTTGTGTATGGTTTTTAATTATGCTGATCGTATTTTTATATAAAAATAAAAAATAAATGATATAGATTTTTGGATTATCATGTTTAAAGTTCAACTGTATAACAATTTTTAGTTTATTTCATATTTTTTCTATTAAATATCATATATAATTTCATAAGAGAATTTTATTTTAAAAAATAATCATATAAATATAAAAATATGTTAATTTTAATATAATTATATATATATATATATATTTAATTAAGAACACGATAATTTTTTTTATTGTTTGGTGAATTTTAATTAATTATTTATAAATTTGATCTTATTAAAATTAAATTTATTTATTTATTTAAAACAATATAATGTAATATTATACATTAAAATACGTTATTCAAATTAATATTTTATTTTGAATATATAAATAAATGTTATTATTAATCTATTTAACGGAAAGATTATACAAGATGATTTAACTTTCAAATTATTATTAGTTAACAAAACAATTCTAATAAATATTTTAGATTAAATATAGTTTTATTTGAAAGAAAATACTTATTTCTTGGTACAATAATTTAAAAAAATTATAGCCTTTCATCAAAGTTACGCTAAGTTAGATTAAAATTTAAACAAAAAAATTTAAACAAAAAACTTATGTTATAAAGTAAAATCAAAACAAAATAATAAATGTTGGCAAATTTTGGGTCATGTATATATATGATACATATTTAAATGTGTTAGGGTTATTATTTATTAAGCCAAATAATAAAGTGATCTGACTAAATTAAAAAGGTTTGACTAAAAACATATGTCATGAAAATAAAATTGTGTAGAAACCATAGAGCAATTTCTAATTTGATGAGGGGCCAAATTGAAAATACTAAAACTTAAGTAATTAACCTAATTTTGGTTATTTTAGGGGGTCATGGTCCCCTTCTGGGAGTACACACACAGAACGTAGTTACAGTTTCGTTCTTTTTTTTCTATCCCCATCAAGAGAGAAAATCAAGAGAGAAATACAGGTGCTCTTCAGGTGGAAGACCATAAGATCAATAGTGCTCTAAAATGGACATCATCATTATGGCTAATTCAGGTACGCTTTCGCATTTAGTTTACAGCATGTTTATGAGTATAAGATTACTTTATGTTTGATCGTTAGATTGAATATCATATTTAATTATCAGTTTACCTAACAATTGGTATCAGAGCAACCCATACCTGATTCATATTTATTTAATTTATAAAACCCTAATTATAAAAATTAGGATTAATTTTGTTTTTAACAATTCTAAATATCCTATCTTATGAATCCTAAGAGGAGAATAATCTCCAATTTTCATCAACCTAAATTCCATTTTGCGAGTAAGATCCCAAATTTTTTTTCGGAGTTGCGGTTTGTGTGTCTCTGTGTGTGACTGCATTCAGAATGTCAAAGGTTTGGAGAAATCATCTTCCCAATGCTGCGACTATCTAAAAATCACAATCTCTGTGTTTACTCAAAAACATTTTTGGGATTTACCAAAACCCTAAAATTTCAATTTAGACCTAAACCCCTAATTCTTTCGCTCCTTCTCTCTGCTGCCGCCACTCACCATTAATGGCGCTCCCTATTCAGTGCTGGTGAGATGTTCACGTCGCAGGGGTGCGCGACATCTCCCAAAATCAGTAAATATTGTGAATCCCAATTTTGATTTTGAAATAAAACAATTCCAGAGTGTCCTGTGTATTCTCCAACAAAAGAGGAATTTGAGGATCCTTTGATTTATTTGCAAAAGATAGCTCCAGAAGCTTCTAAATATGGTATATGCAAGATTGTTTCTCCTTTGAGTGCTTCAGTACCTGCTGGGGTTGTTTTAATGAAGGAGAAAGCAGGATTCAAGTTTACGACTAGAGTGCAGCCTCTTCGCCTTACTGAATGGGATTCTGAAGATAAAGTCACATTTTTTATGAGTGGAAGAAATTATACATTTCGTGATTTTGAGAAAATGGCAAACAAGGTGTTTGCTATAAGATATTGCAGTGCTGGATGCCTTCCTGCCACATACTTGGAAAAAGAGTTTTGGAATGAAATTGGTTGTGGGAAGATGGAAACTGTTGAATATGCATGTGATGTTGATGGCAGTGCCTTTTCATCTTCTCCCATCGACCAGCTTGGGAACAACAAATGGAATTTGAAGAAACTTTCAAGGTTGCCCAAATCAAGTTTACGACTTATGGAAACATCGATTCCGGGAGTAACAGAACCTATGTTGTACATTGGAATGCTTTTTAGTATGTTTGCATAGCATGTGGAAGATCATTATTTGTACATCATTAATTATCATCATTGTGGGGCATCGAAAACATGGTATGGTATCCCAGGTCATGCTGCTTTAGAATTTGAAAGGGTAGTCAGAGAACATGTGTACACTACTGATATTTTATCAAGTGACGGGGAAGATGGCGCCTTCGATGTTCTCCTAGGGAAAACAACTCTATTTCCACCAAATAATTTGTTAGAGCATGAAGTCCCTGTCTACAAGGCTGTTCAAAAGCTAGGGGAGTTTATAATAACCTTCTCCACAGTTGAAACCATGACTGAAGCGAGCATGATATGCTCTGGGAAGGTCCTAACATCTTGGTGGTTTAATATTTAGTTTTGTTATATAAATAAAATATTCAATTTTAATTGTTTGGTAGTTTAATATTTTTGTGAGCAAATTGAGTTAAGAAGTTACCAAAGTAACATTTTTTGAATTGGGTAGTTCGTAAAAAATATTGAATGTTAGTGTTTGTGTATATTCATGCGAGTATTAGTCGGCCCAAAGGAAGATTAATATTTGGCCGAATTACATACACACCTGTAATGATAAACATGTGATAATTATAAGGATTTGCTTTGTCGTTGATAAATCAATCCAAAAACTGGTTTATTATTTGACGTGCTTTATTGTCAATGTTTGATTGTTACAACAAGATACCTATAGCAGTTAATATTAGTGTCCAAAGACTTGATATTGATGGTGCATTGGGTGTCTTGAGATGGGTTAAACCATTTTTTGAATATATATTTTATTTATAATTATTTATTTTTTATAATTGAGCATAATTAATTTATTTCTTTTGTTCTCAATTCAGCTACAATTGCTTCTGTATCTGCCAATTTAAATTCTGTTCCGGTCCTCAATGGAACACATTTTAAGAACTGGAAAGAGAACATTGATATTATTCTTGGCTGCATGAATATGGATCTTGCGTTAAGGATTGAGCAACCCCCTATTCCTACGGATTTAAGTACCTCTGAACAGAAAAGAGATTATGAGAAGTGGGATCGCTCAAATCGCATGAGTCTAATGATCATTAAGCGCGACATCCCAGAGGTGTTTAGGGGCACTGTTTCTGAAAATATCACAAGTGTCAAAGAGTTCCTTGCTGAAATTGAGCAGCGCTTTGCAAAAAGTGATAAGGTGGAGGCAATCACTCTTCTTCAGAACTTGATCTCCATGAAATATCGAGGCAAAGGAAATATCGGGGAGTACATTATGAGCATGTCTAATATTGTTTTTAAACTCAAGGCACTAAAGCTCGAACTCTCGGAAGACTTGCTCATTCATTTGGTGTTGATTTCTCTTCCGCAACGTTTAATCGGTTTAAGGTATCTTACAAGCTGTCGGAAGGATAAATGGTCTCTTAATGAACTCATTTCACATTGTGTACAAGAAGAAGAAAGGCTAAAGCAAGATAAGATAGAAAGTGCTCATTTTGCAAGCACCTCTAAGGCTAAAGGCAAAAGAAAGAGATCGGAGGATCCCAAGAAGGAAGCTGCTAAAGGTCCAGAACAAAAGAAAGAAACTCAAGAAAACAAATGTTTCTTTTGCAATAAGACTGGACACGTAAAGAAGCAATGCGCTAAATATCATGCTTGGCGTGAAAAGAAAGGGTTGCCTAAACTACCGGAAGCCAACTGATTCTGAAAGATGGATATACGTTGAAAACGACAAATCGGTGGAGATGGAGACTATTGGACATTTTAGATTATTATTGTGTACTAATTTTTTATTTATTTTAGATTTAAAAGATATTTTTGTCTTGCCGTCTTTTAGACGAAATTTGGTTTCAGTTTCTTATTTGGACAAATTAGGTTATTTGTGTTTATTTGGAAACAATGAGTTCAATTTGTCTTTTAATTCAGATATTGTTAGAATTTGTTCACTTTTGGCTCATGATAATCTATATTTACTTAATATTGTGGTCACCTATAATGAAACTCTTAATACAGAATCTCATGGTATTAAACTAAAATTGGACTCCCGAACAGTAAGTAGTTACTTCATTGGTTATTCTAAAAGAGCCAGGGGATATAAATTTTATGATCCCACATTAAAGACAATTTTGAGATGGGAACTGTTATGTTCTTTGAGGATATTGAGTTTGGGGGAAGAATAAGATTAAGAATTTTGTATTGGAGGAAGAATCGACAATAAATCCAGAACCGATTCAAACAGTTACTTTTGATAAAGTAAGTTCGGAACCTCCACAAGACATTGATGATAAACCCCATATTCAAGATGATTTGATTGTTCGTTAAGACCAAACTCAAGATCCTCAAGAACCTGTGCGTCATGAGCCGGGGATACTCCAGTTACTAAGGGAGACAAGTTTAGTCTAAATTAGTGCCCAAAGAGGAATATGGAAATTGAGGAAATGAAACAGATTCCCCATGCATTAGCTATCGGGAGTTTGATGTATTCCCAAATATGTACGCGTCCAGACATAACATACATAGTTGGGGTTCTAGGCAGATATTTAAGCGATTCAGGAATAGACCATTGAAAAACAGCAAAAAGGGTCATAAGATATTTAAAGAGAACAAAAGATTATATGCTCACATACAGGAGGTCAGACCAGTTGGAGATCACTGGGTTTTCTGACTTAGATTTTGCAGGATGTCAATAATTTGTAGCATGCTATGAGGCATCAAATCATGAAATATGGCTGAGAAATTTTGTCACAAGGTTGCAAATTGTGAAAGGCATTGAAAGACCACTTAAGTTATATTGTGACAATAAATTAGCTGTATTGTCAAGGAAAGAGTACAAAGTGGACAGATTTCCATAGAACACTTAAGGACAAACTCCATGATAGCATATCCTCTAACTAATGGACTTCCGCCCAAGGTCTTTCATGAGCATGTTGCTCACATGAGTGTTTTACAGTTTGAGGAATTTGTGGTTTAGTGGGAGTTAGTCACTTTCATATATTTTATGTTCTATGTTTAATTTCATATATGTATACATTGATTTTTTGGACATATTTGGTTATCTATAGATATGCGGTTTTTTTGTTCATTCATTACACTTTGTACATTAAGGTTATTATATTGATCTCGATAAGTTAAAGTTTGGACCAGTTGAAAATAGACGTGTACAGATCACTTCCACGTAATTTTTCATGCTACACATTTCATGATGAATCCATGTCATTTGGTTATGTCAGGATGAGTAATCATTGTTGGTTTTAGTTGCGATGATGCAATGAAAAGCTGGTTTGGTTCTATATCCTGATATGATTAATGGATAGGACTTTTGGAATATGCTAAAGCACTAGTGGAAAAATAGCTTTCTATGACGGGCTTTTATCACGGTCGTAGTCCACCCGTCATAGTATGTGGCACGGTGACATTTTTGTAATAAAATCATAAACTTTCTATGTCGAGTAAGTTTTAACCGACATAGTAAGTGGACCGACATAGTAAGTGGAAATGTCACTTTCTATGTCGGTTAAATTTTACCCGACATAGAAAGTGTCTTTGATGACGGGTGTTAGAGCAACCGACATAGTATCTTTTGTTTTACTCTCCTCCTTCCCTCCATTTCATTTCATCACTTCCCCCATAGCAGAGCTCCCCTGTACGTTTCTCCCTACGCTCCATTTCTTTTCATCAGTTCACCCATAGCAGAGCTCCCCGTTCGCCTGTGTACGTTTCTCCGCACCCACATTTGCTCGTCACGCCGCCTGCCAACGCTTCGTGCCACCTGCTGCTACTGGTGCCCGTCGCCTGGGATACGTTTCTCCCCACCCAGCTCTGCACGTCACGCCACCTGCCACCTCTGTAGGTCTTCAAGAGGTAAATTTTCGTGCTTGCTTTAGCCATTATAGGTTTACAGTATTGAATCTAGTAAGTAATAATGTTGTCAAGAGAGGGAAACATCACGGGTGCCTTTAGCTAATTTAGAGATGTATTGTAAGTATTTTAGGCATTTGAATGTGTTTCGTGATTTTGATTTTGAAAATTAGATTTGTATTATAATGTAGTTATTTTGAGAGTGGAGTTGGATTTCGTGTAGGCATTATAATGTAGTTATTTCGTGTTTCTGTAGCTAATTTGATTTTGAAAATTGGATTTGTAACAATGGATCGGAGTTGGATCAATTATAGACGAACAACAAATGAATATGAGAGTGGAGTAGAACAATTCCTTGAATTTGCTAAGATGAATGTTCCGGATAATGATGGAAGATTCTATTGCCCTTGTGTTAACTGCTTGAATGAGCGAAGATTACCGACTGAAGTTATTCGGGAACATGTTCTTTGTGATGGTTTCCTAAAGAGTTACATAAAGTGGACATGGCATGGTGAATTATTAAACATGCCAAGTGTAGAAGACAAAGAAGAAGTTGATCTAGAGATGGATGATCAGTTGGAGGAAATGATTCGTGAGCTTGGACAAGATGCCTTCCAACATACACATGTGTACGAGAAGTTGTCCAATGATGCAAAAGAGCCTTTGTATACAAATTGTACTAAGTTCACACGATTGTCGGCGGTACTAAAATTGTTCAATGTGAAGGCAAAGAATGGGTGGACTGATAAAAGTTTCACAGAATTGCTTGAGTTGTTGAGTGACATGCTCCCCGAAGGTAACACATTGCCAACCCGCAATTATGATGCTAAGAAGATATTGTGTCCAATGGGTATGGAGTACCAAAAAAATTCATGCATGTCCAATGGGTATGGAGTATAAAAGATGATGAAGGAGACTTCTTCAAGTCTACCTTCAGATGACTCCGTTGTGAGTTCTGTCACCCGCCCTTCACGCCATGATAAATGGAAGAGAGCTCGCCAGAACTCATCAGGGAATTACTTATCTGAGCAAACTAATGTTGTTGCTCAACGTATTGTAAGTAGCATATCCTAAACTAATTATATATGTTATACTACAATAGGCATTTGTATTTGCTAAAAAATCATTCGTTTGTGTTGTAGGATGAGTTGGTTGAGCAGAGCACTCAGGGATCATTCCACCCACATGGCCGTCAGGATATATTGGCAGTGGCCATTGGTACCCCAGAGCATCCTGGATGTGTTCGTGGTGCTCGGACGAGGGTGGGCATCGGACAGTACTTTGGTGCCCCACTCGTGGCAACTCCTTCTTTGAGGCAGTTTGAATGAGCAAGAGTTTGAGTCCCTCAAACGACAAATTAGGAAGGAGATTCAAGATGAGGTGTACTCGACTTGAAGGCGAGTTATTGAGCTCAATGCGAGCAGAGTTGACATCTTTGTCCTCTCAACCTTCGTCCCCGCACGAGAGGCATCCCCGATTCATGTCGGCACAAAGGAGAGTTGTGATGCTCCCGATAGAGGGCGAGAGGTTGCT